CCATTTTTTATCAAACAAAGATTATCATACCTTGTATGACAAGAAGTAATCAAAATAATCAAAACTGAAATAACATACTAACTGAAATATTAACAAAGATTATCCACTTCTGCATTCTTTGCTCTGAGAATTTTCTCATCAATATTAACTGAAATAGCATAAAAAATTGTAAGAAATCTCAACATACCAAGATGAGAGAGAAGAGGAAATAGAGAGAGAGCTTGGGTAAACCGAGAGTGCAGAGAGCAGCAGCGAAGCTTGGTTTCGTCGGAAAATGCAGAGGTGAGACAGACGGAGGTCAGATCTTCATACAAACATGGTCGATTTGAAGCCTGATCTTCAAACAACGGAATCCACGTTAGACAAAGCACAAGGAAAACCAGAAGAAGAAGCAGAGGAACTCACCAAAGAATGAAGAAGACGACCTTCAGATCTGATTCAACCCCACTGTAGTGACAAGAAGAGCACTGTGACTCGCCTCTGGAACGGCTTGCTTCGTGAACCCTAGAAAGTGTTCTGCGATTTTTTATAGCTGTGGTCAAAAGTGAGTATTTTGTTCTTCCCGCTACAGTATTATGTGGGCCGATACAGTATGGGAACAAGCAAGAACACCTTTTTTTTTTTTCCAACAATTGGCCCATTTTTGCCAAATGTTCCAGCACTGTTTAAAACAATACAAACCATGCCAAACACGTTTTGGTCCAAAACAGTAGAATTTTGCACTGTTGGGAAGGGAGTAGAACATGGTAGAACAATGCTCAAACAGGCCCTTAGCAATCCTCTTCTCCGATCTCTCCCTCTCCTTCCTCAACTACACCAGCCTCACCATCTCATAGTGGTTTGCTAAAAAAAAATAATAAAAAAATAAAAATAAAAATCCTATAAGAAATGACTTTATAACATCAAATTTAAAAATAAGGAAGTCTTTTTTGCTAAAATGCTTTAATCTATGAAACACAGATACCGAGACACGATACGATACGTCTAATATAAATATAAAATTTTATTTATATATTTATTATAAAAAATAACTATAAAACTCTAATTAATTTATAAATTATATACTAAAGTTACATAAGCTAGAAGATGATACTATTCGAATATATATATATATATATATATATATATATGATATTACTGTCTCATCTTGTCATTATAGTTATGTTTTTGTTCCTTAGAGGTCGAAAACTTTAATGATGTTCATAATATTATTTTCAAGCTTGCGGTGTGTTCCTTTTAAATAAGACAAAAAGTGTAGGATGTGTTAGTTAAGTGTCTGAAATATATTGATCAAGTGTTAGAGATGTGTCGAACAAGTGAGTGAAATAATAAAATTTATTTTTTAATATTAGACACGTCTATAGAGTGTCAAACACATATATAAGAATGTTCATAGAGTGACAGAACACGACATGCACAAAGCACCTCACAGAAGTGTATGTGATTTTTATGCTTTAATTGATTTGGTACGTAGATACAGTAAGGAAAAAAATGCATTTTTTTTTTTTAATCTTTAAGTGATTTGAATGGCTAAAACTATAAATTTTTGAGGTAAAATATATTTTCATAACTACTCGACTTTTTAATAAATTTAGAAAGCCTTTAGTTAAAATCTTGAAAATAGGAAATGACTTAATATTATAAGAATTCAAAATAAGAAAAGAAAGCAGTCCGGTGAAAGCAAATTTTAGGTGATAAATTATTTATTTATTTTTTAATAATATACTCCACTTTGAATGTGAAATAAAATTATTATCCTTGATTCAGTTATTGAGAATGAAGTATAAAGAATATTTATGTGAGTTAAATTTTAAATTTAAAAAACAAAAAAAAAAAGTGTAGTTATAAAAAAGATTTAAATTTAAAATTTTAAAAACAAAACAAATAAGTGTATTTATAAAAAAAAATGGAGTGTAGTAATTATTTCAATTAAAAAAACTCACATAAAAAAATATTTTGTGGCAAATTTGGGCAAATCCTTTTGCCTACTATAATATCTTGCAATTTGTAACATTACCCTTTTAAGATCATAATATTTACATGCATTATATTTAATATAAATAAATCTATTACGGTACAACAATAGCGTACATGATTTTCACTAATAAATTATTTTATTTAAATATTATATGAAGAAAACGTGAGTAACCATTGTTTTAGATACGCTGGATCTTAGAAATCACTAATAGTCAATTGTTAGTTGATTATCTTATTGAATTAGCAATGGCTGAGTACGAATGAAACCCAACTTTCTTCTTCCTTTTATATTTTATTTATTTATTTTCGGGACAAGAATGTTAAGAGTTAATCCCTATTTGATATCGTTTTCAATTTTAGTTTTTAATTTTTGTTTTCATTTTTTTTTTTTTAAAGGTAACAAAATGCATTTGGTAATACTTTATATATTTCAAAACTTTAAAAAACTCTTTTCATATTTTCTCCACAATTCTTAACTCTACAAATTAGAGGGTTGGTTTTGAAATACTGTTATTTTATTATTTTTTAAAATGAGAATTACAAAAATGTTGTTTTATTAATTTTCACAATTAGAGAAATGTTATTTTATTATTTTTTAATTATACTCAAATAGTAAATAAAATTAAAATATATATATTTTATTATACTCGAATAGCAAATTTAAAAATGTTATTTTATTATTTTGTTAATTTTCAATTATACTCGAATAGTAAATAAAATATTATTTTATTATTTTTCAATGATACTCAAATAGTAAATTAAATTATAAAAGATATTTTATTATACTCAAATAGTAAAATTGTAAGTGGTATTTTATTATTTTTCAATTATACTCTAATAGTAAATAAAAGAGTCAATTTTTAAAAATAAAATTTCCAAACATATTTTCTTTTAAAAAATTCAACAACAGAAGTACGTTACCAAAGTATTTAGTTTTGGCAGAAATGACTGCACAACTTTTCAAAACTTGCCATTTGCACAAAAATGAAAGCGCATCAAAAAATGAAAACCACAACTTTACCAAACAGACCCTTTTTTTTTTTTAGGACAAGAATGTTAGGATTTAGTGATTAGTTGTTAGAAGAGAGGGAAAGGGTGCAAGGTTTGAACACGGAGTCAAAATTGAGGAGTAACCCAACCATTCAAACAACACGATAGTTACCATAATACTAGCCAACTATCACGATTACCTCATTACATCCGACTCTAACTTTCCTCATCATAGATAAAATTTAGATAAGTTAGTGTGTATGCCTAATTTAATTATAATCACTGATGTAGTGTTGGTCCTCCTAATACTATCTAAAGTAAGCTTAAGTTATTACCTCCTAACTTTTGTCCAAAAAATAAAAAATAAAAAAATTACCTCCCGACTAATAAATGTGCAAATGATAGATGCAATAAGATAATACTTACGAATGTATCGGTGAGTAAATATTTTTTATTGACTGTTGATATGGTCGAATCATATGTGATGTGTTAGTATAAGATTAGATAATATTAATGGTAACTAGGGATAGGGCTAGCCCTAGGCCTAGTCGGGCAGTCATCTAGGGCCTCTGATTTGGGCTCAAAATTTTAGGTATCACATTCGCCCAGGGTCTCAAAAAATATTGAGCCTTAGGGCCGGCCCTATGTAAGGTGGTTAGTATTGTCCTTCAAAATATAACTCTCACTCTCATTCTCTCAAATGAGAGAAGCGAAAACTGGTGCACATAACAAGAATAAAAAATTTCGTTACTGGTGCCCAGAAATAGAACCCCATCCACAACTCTTGACTAGCTCAGGAATGTCTCCCACCGGACTTTTAGCAATAAAAAATGCATTTTTTGTATCAAATACTCCCTCGTTCCTAAATAATTATTGTACCTTTTTTTAAAAATTTTTTTCAAAATAATAATTTATTTTTTTGTTTTCAAATAATATATTTCACATCTTTCCATATATATTCTTTGAGTTTAAATTTTCAAACTTGAATATTCAAAACTTAAAAGGGTAAGATAGTATTTTTTTAGGCATATAATGCATGCCTCACATGTTCCCTTAAAAATTACTACTCCCTATAATCGACACTTAAATTGAGACGGAAGGAGAAGTATTTTCTCAGTAAAAATATTACTATTAGCGGCAAAATGAGTTTTGCCACTAAAATTTGTTCAAAAAAAGCTCCATTTGTTGTAGCTAGCAATGTTCTTCTATATCGCAATGTGAACCTCAAGATAACCAACTTTGCAATGGCAAGGATTTTTGGCGAAAATCAAAGTACGTGAAGCAACACAAATAGAGTCGTTGCAACACAGTAAGCATTTTCCTTCCTCTTCATTCAAAAAGTTTTGTTGTCATATTTTTCCTTCCCAGTCCTTTAGTTGGATGATAATCAATGTTCAAACACATGAAGCGATGTTAAGTAGACCAAAGATGCATAGAAATTGGACAAAAACAAATTTCTTCTTGTCTTGTGCAGGTGGTGGAAGCCTGTATTGTTGTACTCTTCTAGTTCTTGAGATTGAAGGAGACTTTGGCAATTTCCATTATATATATATATATATATGTAAGGAGAATAATTGGCCTTACTTCAACTTATTTATAATGCCTTATGGCTTGGGCTTGGTTACTCTTTTGGTATCCCCTTTGAAGTTGTTTGATCCTTTTGTTCTTGGGCCAACTCACATTGGCTCCCTACTTATTCACTTATATATATATGGTTGAATTTCCAATATATATATATATATATATATATATGATCTCTTGCAAAAAAGAAATTATCCACACCAACCAAAATGACTATCTTTTTGTCTTTTTCATACTTGAATCATATCAATGATTATCATGACTGGTGTGAATAAATTTCTTGTTAATTTTTTTCATATATATATATATATAAGATGCTTGGCTGATCAATATTCATACATGTTTTGGCCTCAAAAGGAGCAAGGACAATCAAACAGAAAGTTATTTTAAAACAACACTAAACATTTTTTTTTTACCCATATGTCCTTCATTTTAGAAGGTAGAAGCGATACAAGAATTTAATACTTGAAGTCTTGAACACTTAAAAAAACTTTTATATTTTACAAAACATATATAACACTTATTATTATTTGATATGACATACCGATACTACATACAAGAAAGGGCGGATCTAGGGTGGGCTATGGTAGGCTCAAGCCTTCCCAAAAAAAAAAAAAAATTATTACCAATATTAGTCCACCCCATTAACAATTCCTGATTCCCTATGCAATAAGTTTTCATTGGTTGACACAGAAGGCGAAGAGTGAAGTACCTCCGGTAAAGGTTGGGAATGCCACCACTCCAAGGCTTACTTTATAACCATTCCCCACATAAATGCATCCCTGGCTCACTGACATGCCACCATATACAGTGGCTCCGGTGTCCTGTGACCATAGAATCTTCCCGGTTTTAGCATTCATGGCGTAGATGGGTCCTGTTGGATATGCGGATCCAGCAAATAGGACACCGTTAGCAACAGTGACCGGACCATTGGAATTGGCATTGCTAGGATTAGCGGTGGACCATAGGATCGTGCCAGTGTGAGCATCCATTGCCACCCATCCGCCTGCAGTTGTGGTTTTGTTGGATGGCTTGAGAGTGAAGTTTTTAGCGTCACTGTTGACAATGTTGGTGTAGATCCTCTTTGTGTCCGTGGCTGCTCCCCATGTACCTCCTCCAGCAACCCCACCAGGTCCACTTTCCTGCATCACCAATGCATTCAACTTGTATTAAAGTGTTTTTTTTTCGTTAATTAGCACCTTCTTTATGAAATCAATTCAGACAGAGAATTTCAAAAAGCGCAAACGCTTGTACAAATGTATGAAATCAATTCAGACTGAGAATTTCAATAAGCGCAAACACTAGTACAAATGTATTGTATTCTATACATGTATGTCGGATTCTTTGCGGTGCAATGTGGAGTATCTCCACTCTCTCCTGTGCACCGGACAAAACCGTCCAATATATGCTAGGAGATTCTAATTTCATGTATTGAATAATACACTTTGGAGGGATTGACAGGAGACGTGGAGAATAAGTGTGTGTGAGTATTTACTTTATCCCAAAATAAAAATAATAATAATACTTTGCAAATACTTGTTGAATTGTTTATTTGAATAATAAATTGAACATTTTGGAGACCGGGTAAATATATATATCATAATTAATGACTGTCAACATAAAATATTACAAACACATTTAGATTAAAAGGAGTTAAATTCAACAATTTTGAATATAAGAGAAACCCATTTTAAATTGTCCAGCATTTCATTTTTGAAAGAAATATAGACAATTTTTACACCAATGATCATCATTAAGGACACTTTTTAATAGTATAAGGATATACAACAATATATTAAGCAATTAGCATTAGTTATTGTTATTGTATTCAATCTTCTATGAAGAAATATATGATACCGTTAGAACCATAGATAATATTAAGAAAAGAGAAAGACCAAAATAACGTAGTTACAGTTAATTAATAAAGGAATACTATATATGATAGGAGTGGGTTGACTGAGTATATAATTTTAGAAAGACCGAAATGCAAACATAGAATTCAGGTAACCCACTATAAGTAATTAGGAAAAAGATTAGCTTGTTTGTTGTTGGTGTTTATACTGCACAACCTACTTAAAATTTTGTAAGATACACACGCACACAGGGGTGTTCACACATCTGTATTATATTTTATTTGTATTATTTTGTACCATAACACAAAAAACTGCCAATCTTGGTTAAAAAGAGTATAAAGTATAGGAGAATTTATTAGAAGGTTTGAATTTATGTGGTCATAGTCAATTATAAATTGTCATAGTACAAGCAAATGTATCAGCTTTATTCAGTTTTTTTTTTTTACTTGTATGGCAATTTGTGATTGACTGATCTAAGACAACGTAGCATGATAATTGACTGATCTAGGACCATGTAGTCTCGGATCATATAATAATTTCTCAAAGAATACAACTATGTATATATATATATGAAGCCATCTTAGTATCTTACCGTGGACCAGACAATGCTGCCATCATCGCGATCCAAAGCCCATGCAAATCCACTCTTCTGAACAGCTACCACAACATCTTGTTTGCTTCCATTGACATGAATGCTTAGCATCATCGGTGCCTCCCCAAAATCGGCATCCGGGTTGGGACCGGGAGGGCAATCAGGGGATGCCGAAAGGTTGCTGCAGGCCACGAACCAAACATCATACCCTCCCAGCTGCCTATACCACTTGATCACTCCAGTGTCCAAATCCAACGCCATTATAGAATCAGAATGATTTTCGGGCTCAACACACTCGTCTGGATGAGTAGGCAAAGTCTGATTGTTCTGTCTTTCTTGACATTGTTGAACACGCAGAGGAGCTGAGTATAGGTTTCCTGTGGCAATGTAGACAAGGTTCCGTTTAATATCAATGGAAGGGCTGCTTCCCCATATTGCTGCTCCGGAGTACTCTCCGGTCATGCCGTGGTTGTCAGGCACCATGAAGGTCTGCCACATGACGGCGCCTGTTCGGAAGTCTAGTCTGGCAAGGCTGCCACGGAAGGTGCAGCAGGTCTCAATGCTGCTGACGTCTTCTTCAAAAGAAGATGTTCCAACATAGAAACCTCTGTAACAAGTTATGTAATTAAATAAATAAATTATCACTAGTTTATTTTCTTATATATATATATGATCTGATTATGTACGTCCAAAAATTTGATCGGACGTCCAAGATTAGGTTCAAGTTATATTAATATATATATATATAATAATAATAAATAAATAAATAAAACCTGAAATTAGGGCATGCCCTAAGTTCGTTTGACTTTTGATATAAGAAATTGGTGGCTAATCTAAAATGTTAGAAAATTATTAATATTCTGTATGCCACTTAATAAATTAGATTTTTTTTTTTTCTCCGTATGCTTGCAAAGTTCGTATTTTTTCCGTGTTCTAGAAAAGTCCATTTATTTGTTCCGTATGCTTGAAAAGTCAGATTTTATATACATATATGTTTTTTATAAGTTGAAAAGTCAGATTCTGTATACAATTGACCTCTTTAATTTAGTTAATAATAGCTTATTTCACGGGTGATGCAAATGAACAAATAACAATACATTAGATCAAAGGAGGTTGGGGGTTTGAATTTCGGTGGAGGTTTGTGTGTGCGGAATTGTTTTAATTTTTAAAAAAAGAAAAAATAAATTAGCTAACTTACCCAATATATATATATATATATATATATATATATATATATATACATTAGCTAGCTCACATTAGCTAGCTCACGAAGAGTTGAATTTTGAACGATGCGTGTACATCAAACTTAGCTTGTTAAGTTGTCCAACTCATTAATCCTCTTACTTCCCAATATGTAGATATATGGATGATACAGTCAATCTACATATGGATGATGTGTACAGTGTACCTATTAATGTGGATTACGTTCACATTAAATTTATGAAACTTCACATTATCATCTCCTGATTTAAATGGCAAGTTCTCAATATATATATATATATATATATATATATATATATATCTCTCCTACGAACTTTTATCTTGTTCTGAATTAACACCATTGACCTAAGCATTAATCTAAATGTATATTGTGCCTAATACAATCTTTTCACATATTCATAAAAAGAAACTTAGACCAAAAAAATTTAGAGTAATGAATAGGAGTCATTATGACATATAACAAAAGTAACAGGAAAAATGGTTTTGCATGACTGACCCTTTATGTAATGTCCCGGACATGGTGATAAGACCAACCGGATGACTATCAAGCAGGGTGGACCAGACCAGCTCTCCGGTTGCTCGTTTAACAGCAATAACAACAGCGGGTCCATAGATTCCGACTATGAGCAGATCACCAGCTACAGTTGGAGTTGATCTCGACACCGTTGCAGTAACATTTTGGAGGAAAGTTGGTGGACCAAGACCAGTTAGGTTTTGCAGGTTTTGTTTCCAAACAAGAGAGCCATCCACAGCTTTGACGGCGTACAGGTAACCATTCCAGCTTGGGAAATAAAGGGTGCCATTGAAAATTGCAGGTGTTGCAGAGATGTCTTTGCCTGCATAGAATGTCCACTTGAGACGTAGCTTTGAGACCGTTGAAGGGCTGATCTTGGTTTCTCCATAGGCATATCTACGGTTGTATATGTCACCACCATGGTTTATCCAGTCTCCTGCAGCTGAATGTCTCTTTTCATGCCACTTAAAACCAACCACAACACTAGTTATTAGGTTATATGCATAGTGACATATATATATATATATATATATATATATATATATATATAATTAAATTCTTACTATGTTTGGAGAACAGATTCGGTGTCTTGGACGTAGAATTGAAGAAATTAAGCTTAATTCAAAGTTTAAAATAATTTTTCTTTAATTTTAATTTGAAAACCTAGATTCAATATTCCCGAACATAATATGTGTTTTTTTGTGTGTATGTGTGTGTAATTGAGAGAGTGGGACTTACATCTGTACCAGAGCTAGCAGTGATGATAAGTAGATAAAAGCTGCAAACAAATTGGACAGAAACAACATTCTTGTTGGCTTTCGCTAATGCCATGGAGGTAGAAGTCTGAATTAATGTTGTAGTCTTGTTAAGAATGAAGTAGACTTTGTCATTTTCCAATATACATATTTATAGAGAATTGAATTCTATGCATAATAAAATTAGCTATTTTTTTATGTATGGATCAAAGATATGGATGAAATTGAGTAGGATGGAGACTGGGTCGGGTTTGGCTTGCAAGGAATTCTATGCATAATATAAGGTATAAGTTGGCTTGCAAGAAAAGACTGGGTCGGGCTTGGCTTGCCTAAGCATATCCCGGTTTAACCTTAAGGTATAATTTTTTTTTTTTTTTTTGGACCATTAAGCTAACCCTATTGTGATACCCCCTAATTTTGGAACACGGATTGATCAAGTCCGCGCACAAAATCAAGGGATATCAAAACAATTTAAGTATTTAACAAGCACAGAATACAAAGATGAATAATAAAGAATAAATAACCGCTGAAGAAAACTAATAAATAAATATTACTTAATGATTCTCCAACAATTACAATTCGGAAATCCCATAACTCAAGGACCCCTTAAAACATTATCCAATAATCCAATACTATTTAAAAGTACACAAGATGAATAGACGAATGACAGTCTCCCAGCTGCGGATCCTCAACCTCGAGACTGGAACCTCTAATAACCTGAAAAATAAATCGTGGGTTAAACCCTACGAGCAAGTTCACTCTACCAGACCTCTGAAAACCAATAAGCAGATCATCTCTGATCAAAACCAAACCTAATAAAGTTTTAACTTTAATAAAGCACGATATACATGTCTATATATAATTATATATACTATACTAATCACATCCATTAATAAGTTTATTAAATTTCCATACCTATTAAATAATTATTAAAATAATATTCATACCTAGACCAATCTACCATTTCATTTTATAAAAACTCCTTTGACCTTAATCCCATCCTAGTCAGTTGTTTAATCATTTAAACAACAAATTATAATAAAAGAAATACTCTATTTAATCCCAACCCGATAATGATTTTAATTGTTTAAATCACATATCCAAAATCCAAGTTTTGACAAATCATCCACGTCTTCCCCAATATTATTTTATTAATGTAAAATAATACACTAACCAGTAAGTACTAAACTATTCTCATTTAAGAATATCTAACCCTAATCCAATCCATACATACAACAACCATAGATGATATTTTAATCATCTAACACATAACAACGTAATTATGCTTTGGCAAATCAACCATGCCATTGTAAATATTTTTATTTATATATTGGCAATTCAACCATGCCTCCATAAGTATATTTATTTATACATTGGCAATTCAACCATGCCTCCGTGTATGTATATTTATACATTGGCAATTCAACCATGCCTCCACAGGTATATTTATTCATACATTTAATTAGCAATTCATCCATACTTTCCATATATGTATTCTATTCATACAAATATTTAGGTAATATATTTAATCATTTGACAATTCATCCATGCCCACACTTTAACCATGAATTAACTTTAAAATTAACAATACGCTAAATCATACATAGCCATCACATGCATATTATACGCATATCATTAATTTAACAACCAGCCTATTAAGATATGCCAAATAAGAATGATAATATTAATCATCTTAAATGATTTATATATATATATACCTACACATATGTTATTTAATGTATATATGTGTTTAACACATTCTTTAATAATCCTTGATTATTTAAAATCAATATACATACATACATACATATATATATATATATATATATATATATATTCATCCTTCCATACAACTCATAGACAAATTAAACTATATATACACATATATAAATATATATATATTCATCCTTCCATACAACTCATAGACAAATTAAACTATATATACACATATATAAATAATTATATATATATATATATATATATATATATATATATATATATATATATACACTTCCTTCCATAACAAATTATTAATTTATTATATTTACACAAATTAGTGCAACTAAATATGTCAGAAATAGTTTCCTTTAAATACTCCATATTGGTTTAAATAGTTTTCCGACACTTTCTCACTAAAACATAAATATCTCCTAGTAGGATGGGAATCTGATAATGAAATTGGTACCATTGGAAAGAAGACGAAAAATCCTTGAATTTGAGCTCAAGAATGACCCAATTTCGATTTAAAATGACTAAGTTATGACCGTTTTAATTTCTAGTGTCGAATTAGGCCAACATAGTTTCCCACGCGCGCCCACGTGCTTACTATGCACTTGCACGCGCTGGATTCAAGCCTCCTTGTGTGCTGGTATTGGCTAAGCTCTTTCAGCTACCGTGAGCTCACCACATTGAATCCATCACTTCCTTTATGCCGCATCCAATGGTCATAAATGAGTGCGCAAATGAACACGCTCACACTAGATTATTTTCTATTAACTATAATAGATCTAAGGTCCAGATCAGCGAGTGCACCATCTTCTCATGGTCTGCAAGACACCAAATAATCCATAGTTGACCAGACCACTTCTATGGTCCAGATACACCTGCGCACCAAACTTTTATGCGCCGCGATGCACCATATCAATTCACATAAGTTTAATTAATCAAATGGCCCTAATTGGCGTATACACCCTATTATCCTACACCGCGCTGCACTGGATCAATTCTTTATTGTGCCGCCGCTCCACATGCGCCAGTTACCTAGTATATATATATATATATATATATATATAATTATTTTCCTAACAAATAATAGGAAAATAAATCCTAATAAATTCCTAAAAATATCAGAAAAATTCCAGAAAATTACAGAACAATTCTAGAAAATAAAGAAACCATAATTAACTCTCTTGGGTCACAAATCCACCTATAGATTGATTTTAAAATATACATAACACCTATATATATCAATTAAAATCCAATAATCTAAAAATCAAATATAATAGTTTATACTTTTTAATTATTCCGATCTAACCATAATTTTTAAACAAATAAATTTAATTAAAGCCTTGATACTCAAGGTGAAATCCTTATGAGTTCTAAGAGGAAAGTTAGAGAAAACTCGCCTGAAGGTTTCGAAACGAAACCGACGCTTTAAGCTTTAATTATCTCTTCCAATTCCGACGTCCTCCTTTTCAGATCCGACCTCCTCCTTGTCAGCCCTTCTTCTTCCTCTCTCTCTGTCTGTTTTATTTTTCTAACGTGTAAAACCTTTAACCCTAAAGCCTTATATATATTTTTATACACCTTAAATTCCAAATCCTATTCCAACTAGTATTATGAATTAAAATAATAATCTTTAAATAATTTATATCTATAAACATATATATATATAAATATATATTCCTTCCATAATTAACTCATTAGTTAATTAAATCATATATACTTATAAATATCAATAAATATATATCTATATATATATCTTTCCATAACAATTATTAATTAATTATATTTATATATAATTATATATATATATATATATATATATATATATATAATTGATACAAAAGTGATCATTTAAATAATTAAATAACCACGGACCTTCATTAATTAACCCAATAAGGTTTCATACAAGCCCAAGACCACATCTTTTGGTCCAACTTTCCTTAAGCCCAATCCAATTAATTTAAATAAATAAGATAATTAATTAAATACAGAAATTAAAATAACTAATTACATGAAGCACATAAACAAACAAGAATTTACAACTAAGTCATATAATACCAATAAAATCAACACACCAATAATTCAATCAATAATCAACCACACAAACAATCAATCATCATACATAATCACGAAATATAACTTAATTAAAATAAGATAATTAATCTAGCACTCAATAAAATAAAATAAATCATTGAAAAATAAAATAAAATAATTAATCCTAATTAATAAATCTTTTAAAATTATCGGGGTATTACACCTATCTTGGCCCTAAAAAGTTGGACAAGAGATAAGGTAGTAACCGCCACTGTGCAGAAACAAATTTTATATTAGTAATGCTATTTAGGCTTCACATTTTGGTGAAATGTTAGGCCTAAGGATTCACATGGATTCTTCTTTATTTCATCTCATGATGGAAGTAACTTAGTTTGCGTATTTCGATTGATATTCTAGATTATTTTTGAAAACTAGAGTTGACGTACGAATCTTCCAAAGTTTTCCAAAGTTGAACAGGAGATAAGGTTGCGACCGCCACTGTGTAGTTTTGGGCCCCACGGGTTCGCATGGGAAGGGTAATAAATTTTTTCTTTGTAAATTATTGCACTTAATTTTTAGGGATAATTACGTGTATAAGTAATGATATCTGATCAAATTAGCTTCCTCTTAGTTGGAATCCTACCTGTACTAATTACTTAAATCGTTGATATAATTACTTAAATCGTTGATATTTTCTTGGCAAAAGTACAAAAAAACCCCTGAACTATACACTTTGTTGCAAATAACCCCTTGAGCTATAAAAGTGTGCAAATACCCCCTTGAGACCCACCGGACGGCATATGTTGATTTAAAATTACTGAAATAACCTTACTTATTACATTATATAAAATAAAATAAAAAACCTAATTGTAAAATACCAATTATACCCCCACTAACTTAAGTTTATGTTAGAGAGAGAGAGAGACGTACAGAAAGTTAGAGAGAGATGGAGGCACAGATGGTGGAACTAGGTTTACCGTGATAACAGATCCACGATAGACTGTGAGAGGATCAACAACCAGAGAGGATTTCGACGATGACGAAGCAACAAGGAACATAAGATATGTTCTCAGAGTGACTGAACGGTGAGGACGGTTTGTTGTGGATATTGCTAGAGTTGAAGTACTATTCAGGAGACGACGACGATTCGATGAGGATGGTATGCCGGTGGTGGTCTCGCTGGATGATGAGATGGTTCGTCGTCATCTTGGAACGAATTGTGGGTACTGAGTTGGAGAGAGAATGAGAAATGAATGAGTTGACTCAGTCGAGACCATTAACAGACCCCTTTAATGTTGCCGATGATGAGGTTAAAGTATAAGAAAAGATTGAGGCGGCGATGAAAGACGAA